CCTTGACAATGCTGGTGAATTTACCTCACAAGCGTTTAATGACTACTGTATGGCCATGGGGGTAACCGTGGAACATCCTGTAGCACATGTCCATACTCAAAATGGATTGGCTGAATCATTCATTAAACGCATTCAATGGATAGCCCGACCATTACTCATGAGATCAAAGCTCCCGGCCTCAGCATGGAGACATGCAGTATTACATGCTGCTGAACTCATACGCATCCGGCCATCTAGTGAACACAAATATTCCCCATCCCAACTACTCTCGGGTCATGAGCCAGACATCTCCCATCTCAAAACATTTGGGTGTTCAGTATATGTACCCATTGCTCCACCACATCGAACCAAAATGGGACCTCAAAGAAGGATGGGAATATATGTTGGTTTTGACTCTCCCACCATCATAAGATATCTCGAGCCAACCACTGGAGATCTCTTCAAGGCCAGATATGCGGATTGCCAATTCGATGAATCGGTATATCCCTCTTTAGGTGGTGAGACAAACAAGCTGGTCAAAGATCTTTCATGGAATCAAACATCATTAAATTGGCAAGATCCTCGGACTCTAGAATGTGATTCAGAGATCCAAAAGATTATTCATTATCAAAAGCTAGCTAATCAATTGCCAGATTCCTTTGCTGACCCGACCAAAGTAACCAAATCGTACATCCCAGCTTGTAATGCACCAGTACGAATAGCTGTCCCAACGGGACAGACCCAAGTTGCTACAGAGTCTGCACCACGTCTCAAACGGGGCAGACCTCTCGGTTCCAAAGATAAGAATCCCCGGAAATCAAAGAAAGGTGCAATAACCGAAACCGGGATTCCTGCAATATCAGACATAGCCGCGGCTGAGACTCAATCTAATGAACCCTCAATGGAAGTTCGGGACGCCGAATCTCCAGGCTCAGAAGATAACAATGAGATCTCCATCAATTACAATATGTCTGGAATACAATGGAATCGAAAAGAAGTCGACTTAAATGCACTCTTTGCATACAAAGTAGCACTTGATGTTGCGCTCACGCAAGAGGATCTAGAACCCACGTCAATAACACAGTGTACACATCGAACAGATTGGCTAAAATGGAAAGAAGCCATAAACGTGGAGTTAAAGAGTCTCAAACTCAGAAACGTGTTCGGTCCGATCATCCGGACCCCATCACACATCAAGCCAGTGGGCCACAAATGGGTCTTTGTGCGCAAAAGGAGCGAACTCGGTGAAGTCGTTCGATACAAAGCACGGCTTGTAGCACAAGGATTCTCACAGAGACCCGGAATCGATTATGAGGAGACTTATTCTCCAGTGGTGGATGCAACAACATTCCGATTCCTCATAAGTCTGGCCATAAGAGAAAATCTTGATCTGCGGTTAATGGATGTTGTAACCGCATATCTCTATGGGCCCCTGGACAACGAAATATATATGAGACTCCCAGATGGCATTGAACTAAAAGACAAAAATGCATCTCGAGATCAATACTGCATCAGGCTGAACAAATCCTTGTATGGACTGAAACAAAGTGGGCGTATGTGGTACAACCGCCTCAGCGATTACCTCATCAAAGAAGGCTACAAAAATGACCCCATCAGTCCATGCATCTTCATCAAGAAGTACTCAAACAAAGGATTTGTAATCATAGCAGTATACGTGGATGATCTAAACATCCTCGGAACATCTGGTGAGATCTCCCAAACAGTCGACCGCTTAAAAGCAGAATTCGAAAGGAAAGACCTAGGCAAAACAAAGTACTGTTTGGGATTACAACTTGAGTACATCAAAGGAGGAATCCTTGTGCATCAATCGGCTTATATCGAAAAGGTACTCAAGCGATTTAATATGGACCAAGCTCACCCATTGACCAGCCCAATGGTAGTTAGAAGCTTAAGTGATGACCCTCTTGGTCCCAAAAAGGATGATGAAGAAATCCTTGGTCCTGAAAAGCCATACCTCAGTGCTGTAGGAGCGTTAATGTACCTGGCTAGTCACACTAGACCAGACATATGTTTCGCCGTGAACCTCCTCGCTCGATATAGTTCATCTCCAACTCAGAGGCACTGGAACGGTATAAAACATCTCCTAAGATACCTTCGAGGTACTCAAGACTTAGGACTCTTCTATACTAACCAAAATAAAGATGGGTTAGTCGGCTTCGCCGATGCAGGATATCTATCAGATCCGCACACTGCCAAGTCTCAAACTGGCTACGTTTTTACGCATGGAGGAACAGCCATCTCTTGGAGATCAATGAAGCAGACACTCACTGCCACTTCATCAAACCATGCTGAAATCCTAGCCATTCATGAGGCTAGTAGGGAATGCGTCTGGCTGCGCTCCATGACTCAGCACATCCGCAGAGATTGTGGTATGGACGAAGACACACAGCCCACGGTGATGTATGAAGACAACGCGGCATGCATAGCTCAGCTCAAGGAAGGATATATCAAAGGAGATCGGACGAAGCACATTCTACCGAAGTTCTTCTCAACCTCAGACTGGCAGAAGGACGGCACTCTCAGCGTTCAGCAGGTCCGATCCAGTGAGAATTCAGCTGACCTCTTCACCAAATCATTGCCTACTTCAACACACCGGAAGCTCGTCAAACAGATAGGAATGTATAGACTTAGAGATCTGCAGTGATGCTACAATCAGGGGGAGTAATGCGTGTTGTACTCTTTTTCCTTCACCATGGTTTTGTCCCACTGGGTTTTTCCTGGTAAGGTTTTAATGAGGCAACATTCCCCAGCGCATTATCGAGATCCCGATTGAGTAGCTGGCCCGGTTCACTCGTCCAAGGGGGAGTGTTATAACACATATCATATATGGACTCTTATACCGGCCCATTAGACCCATCAGGGCATTGTACTTAACCTAGATTCCCTATGTACTCTATATATACATTCCAGTGATTAATAAAGTATCTAAGTTTTCACAACATTTTCATGATTTTTCAATTTTGAGGTTTTAGCAGGGCAACACAACTTTGAAGTTTTGGTAGATAATAAATTTTTGTTATTTTAGTGGAAAAATATAATTTTGCAGTTTCGACAAGAGATTCTCAATCAGTTCTGATTTGAGTAAGCACATAACATGAAATACTATAACAATATATACGTTTTGGCAAAGTTTGTCGATAACTTAAAAAATATTACCCCATACAATATGCAGGTTAATTCCTAATATCGAAACAAAGATTATTCAGTATTGACTTATGTCCTCTGTCTCCTCTGTATATGGTTCGATTGCTGAATAATCTTTACAATACTATTGGCTTAATACTATTGGCTTAAAGGCTAATGATTAAATTTCTTTCCACGGCCTTTGAGTGTATGATAAACTTTCTGCCATACTTTGGGTGAATGCTATATATATCTTTCTGTCTATACATCTGTATGATCACAGTAAAATCATGATAGCTGATGATTATGCATCATTGATTGGTTCTATCAATATCAACGACCATAGTTTTTTTTTTCTCAACGACCATAGTTTCCTTCGCTCAAGGGATTTTGACGTCAGATATACACTCATCTGCTTCTTTATATTATGCATCGATTTCCAAAAGCTTATTTAACATATTTGATACAATCACACTAAGGTGAAGATCATTTTTTTTTTTAACATGATAACATATTTTCTTAAAATTTAAAATAAATAGTTTTTACTTATAAGTTCTCAAATTTCATATAATGTGTTATTTTTTTTTTACCTAGTAAAAAAGTTAGTTTTCAAAGTTTTTATAAAACGTGGGTTAATTTTCAAAATATATAATTTTTTAGAATATTAAACCGAATCTCCCATATTGATAAGTAATTTTTTTTTTTCAAAACTGCTCTCCAACTTCTCAAGAGGCGGTTGTTTGTGCGATTGTGGGATCGTAACACCCACCGTTCATTGCTTCTCCTCCGGCCGACGTCGATTCCGGCGTCAGTTGGTTTTATTTTCTCTGTTTCTAATTTCAGTTTATAGGAGAAGACGAGTGAGAGAGGATGGATATTGCTATGGCCAAACGTTTGCCGTTGGTGTTACAACGGAGAAACCAACTGCCAATCGTTTCTTTTATCCTCTCCATTCTCTTCTTCTCTTGTTTCTCATATTTTATGGTTCACGTTAAAATTAACGGTTTTGTGAATCTTATTCCCAACCAATTTTCTTCTTCAAAGAGGATTTCTCCGTCTGATGATAGGCCGTATATCACCGTCATCAGTGTCTATTGTCCGGCAAGTTCCGATGTCTGCTCTCCGTTGGATACAACTTCCAGTGGATCGTTTGCTTTGGCTTTGCAAAATTTGGAACAAAACTTGATGGTTTAGTTCGGGAAACAAATTTAACAAGCCACCATTTTATGGTTCAAGTATATAATTTGGACGTTCGATCCGGGGATTGAAGAATATAGGATAAACAAAGATGTTGATCGGCGACATTGGGATTTAAGTTCCATTTTTTCCGATGATTTTGCTTTGCTGGGTAAAATATTACTATGGGAACAACCACCATGGAAAAGACAAGGTTTTCGAGCGGAAGTTGCAATCTTTTTGTGGTATGGCGACATTCGTATAGTCGTTGAAAATTGGCAATTTTCAGTCTTTTTTCTATCGAAAGAATCAATAAATTAAATTCTTTTTCGAAAAATATCTTTAATTCTTATCTGGAAATGTGTCAATAATATACAACAAGAGAAAATATGGATCATAGCAAAAAAATCGCATCAAACTGCGACTATGAGGGATTATGAGGAAAGGAAGGATGGACATCTTCCCAGCAAGCAAAACTCAGAGGAAATAATCGTCAAAATTCAGTTTATTGTCTATTACTTTGTATGTTTTATTTATATATTATTGTTTCTATGTAACTTGATTTTTATATAAATAAATATAGATGTTAAAAAAATAAAAAAATAAAAAGTAATTTTTGTTTTCTATCATCTACTAACCTTTATTCCTTTAATTTTAACAACGAAAAAAAGCGAGTGCCACCACTCTTTAGGTTTCAGCCCTAATAGGCGGGAAGCTTAATCGAAATTGGAGGGAAAAATCCCTCAAAATTGATTTCATCCCCTCTTAATTGAATTCTCACAATCTTCTCCGATTCGCTTCTCAACCTCCGTCTCTCTCTGAATTTTCGATTTGTAAGCTTCGAAAATGTTCTCCAACAGTCAATTCGAGCCGAATTCCGCTTTCTCCGGCGGCGGATTCATGTCTTCTCAGCCTTCTCAGGCCTATGAAACTTCTTCATCCACTGCTAAGGTAAACCTAATCTCTTCTTCTTTTGCTTTAGTTTCGTTGAAAGTATCCGATTGCGTTTTCGTTCGCTCCTCTGTGAAATTCGTTTTGCCATAGATTTGTCTCGATTCGTGATGCTAAACGTAAATCTGCTTTGTGAATGTAGAGTCGTGACTTTCAGGGTCTTGTCCCTGTGACGGTGAAGCAAATAGCCGAAGCTTCTCAGTCCGGTGGCGAAAAATCTGGGATCGTCATCAATGGAATCGAACTAACAAACGTACAATCTCTTAAAAAAACCCATTCGAATTTTCTCCCTTTTTCGTTAATTCTCCAGTAGAAGAGTTTACTAAGTTAGTTGTGTGATGTTTTGGCATATTCAGGTCTCTCTTGTTGGGTTAGTGTGTGACAAAGATGTCTCAAAAGTCACAGAAGTTAGATTCACTCTTGATGATGGAACAGGTCGAATCGACTGTAAAAGATGGTAAAATCTCATGATCATCCTTTTGATAAACTCAACAGTTGTTTTAGGTATATGAAGTGGTGGATGAAACCATACAATGTTTGTAATTTGCGTTGTGCTTTCTTTTTAGGGTGAATGAAAGTTTCGACGCTAGAGAAATGGAGTCAGTGCTGTGAGTATCTTCTGGTTTTATTTCGATATTTATGGTGAGATTCGCATTTTCTTGGAAGTTGTTTTCTTATGGGCTTAAGCTTGTGAAGCAGAGACGGAGCCTATGTGCGTCTCAATGGCCATTTGAAGACTTTTCAGGGGAAAAAGCAGCTACTTGTTTTCTCCGTGAGGTATGTTTTTACCTGTTGTTTCATTTAGCATTGGCTATAGATTTTGGTAATAAGACTGTTAGATAAGCTATGATAAGATTTTTTTTTTGTTTTGCAGGCCTATTACAGACTTCAACGAGGTTACCTTTCACTATATTGAGTGTATACATTTCTATTCCAAGAACTCTGAATCACAGGTAAAGAGAAAGGAACATAGCAATATTGTTTCAAGTTCACAATCTGAAATTAATGTTCTCTCTGATATGTTTGGTTTCTCAGTTGGGACAGCAAGTTGGTGATGTCACTCAATCTCACATGGTTAACTCATCGGTTACCACTAACCAGACAACCACATTGAACCCTGTAAGATGAAATTTACCAAATAGTTTTTGGTCCTCTATGTGACATCATGTGTTTTAAAATCTAATCTGTGTTGCTCTTTTGTAGGTAATGTCCTCTCAAAACAACGATGGAAATGGTCGCAAGAACTTGGATGATATGATTCTAGACTATCTAAAGCAACCTGCTTGCACGTGAGTTACAGTTTGTGTTTGCTTTGCGCATTGCACCACCTGAAGTTGATCTGATAATTGTTATTTGTATTGTCTGCAGTGAGAGACAACAAGGGATACACTTGGATGAAATTGCCCAGCAATTGAAGATCCCAAAGAACAAGCTCGAGTACTTTTTCTTTCTCCTCACAATCTCTTATCTCTCTATACTTTCAAAGTTCGTGATCTCTCATGACTTGGCTTCAATTTTGTGTCTTTACAGAGGTGTTATTCAGTCACTGGAAGGCGATGGTCTTATATACTCGACAATCGATGAATATCATTTCAAGCATGTCGAGCTTTGATCATCTAGAGTGCGGTTAATCAGTAGATAAGACACAGTTGTATCGTCTGGTGATTTGAGAGATGTTTCAATATCCAGAATCTAGAATCTGAAATTTGAATTTTCTTCTTCTTTTTTTTTGTTATCACGATCAAGTATCATTCTGAAACCACTCTAGCAACGTATCTGCTTATTTTGGTTGATGCCTGTTATGTTCTTGGTTGTAGTACTTCAGTTTTTAATCATAGTGCGTATACTTCATGATCTACTGTATTTTGTGATGGAGATACTACAATTAGTTAAATATCTGATGAAGTAAAACTATATTCTTGAGTTGGTAATGTTAGCAGAAATAAAATTTGGTTTCAACGGCAATGTTGTGTCGTCCCATAAATCAAGTTTGTAATGGAATTGCATAATGCGAAGTTTAAGACAAGAAACTGAATTAATCGATTCTACTGCATTCTAGAGTCATGTTTTCCTTTTTTCCTGATTGTACCGAATAATTAGGATGTGGGTGATTCTACCGGAGTTACCCAAGTAATTTTTGCTATTATTTCTCCGGTTTAGTATGTTCATTGGTTTAAGTTATGCTGCTTTGAAACGACATCGTTTCAGTTAGGTTTATATTTTTGTTGTAGCTAAACGATGCCGTTTATGCACGTTCTTCTTCATCCGAATGCGGGGCTAAAATGCCATATAATGCTAAAAAGTGTACTCAAAAACCGTCTACCTAATAATTATTTTCTTTTTCATTTTCTTTTACTAACTTAAACCATGGATATTCTTCTTTTCTCCTTCTATGTCGAGATATTAACAAAAAAACCAGGGTAATACTCATCCGAATTCAACCCACCCGATAACTCATTTTTATTTTATTTTTATTAATTATTTAAACATTTTTTCTCTTTTCCAGCAATTTCTTTTAATTCTCTTATTTTTTTTTCTTTATATTTCTTTTTTTTCTTATTCTTCTTCATCGTTGAAACATCAACAAATTTTGAAAACCACCAAAATCTCATCTTCATCATCCAACCCTTGCTTACTCATCCTCTCTAATCAGTGTTCTGTCTTTATCTTCTCTCCATATCACCGAGCTTCAAAATCCAGTTAGGTTTTTATTTGGAGATTTAGAAATTTCACAATTTAGGGATTATATTTGCCAAAATTGCTTGTTCGGTATGCAAATCGGATTAGTAACCCAGATTTATGTGACAGTTAGGTCTTTGCATAGATAATTTATCGAATATAGTTGTTGAATCGTAGTGATTCTTAGGTAGATTGAAATGAAAACCCGAATTCATCATCAAATCTGCAGAGAAGGACAACTGGTATGAATGGTACAACTAGGAGATAAGAGGACAACTAATACAACTGGTACAACTATGAGATAGAGGACAACTGGTACAACTATGAGATAGATGACAACTGGTACAATAGGTATAACTACGACAACTTAAATAATTACTGATTGAAAATACTTTTGTTATAATTGCAAATCGGGTTGGTAATCCAGTTTTATGTGACGATTACGTATTTGTATGGATAATTTTATAAATATAGTTGTTGATTCATAGTGATTTTTAATAAATTATAATTATACCTGAGTTCATCACCAAATTTATAGAGAAGAACAACTGGTACGAAATGGTACAACTAAGTGATAAGAGGACAACTAATATAACTAGTACAACTATGAGATAGAGGACAAGTAGAACAAATGGATAGTACTAAGACATGTTGAATAATTGTTAATTAATAATTTTTTATTATATTTTCAAGAGATAATGAACATCAGCCACACAAGCAATTCAATAGATTTTATATCATTTAATATCTCATATTTGGAGTAGATAACTTATTCGGTATTAGTAGATAAAATATTGTATGTAAAAAGATTATAATATATGAAACTAAACAGCTTTGAAGTAGATAATTTACGTTATGAATTTTTTCAGGACAACTAGGTGCAAATCGGGACAACTATATTTTAATTGTAATGTTAAAAAATATTTTCCTAAAGTTATTTACTTAAAACCAATACAACCCCTACCCTAAAAGCCGTATATTTTCAAGTTTATACTAGAAAGAATAAAATAAAACTTTGTTTTTTTCAAAGAACCAAATATTTTTGGTTTCACTTGAAATAACCCTTATGTTATAAGGAAGTTTTTGATAATGGTATCCATCTTATGCAAGCGTCTATGCAAAAATATAGGAAATAGAAAAATACTAATGCAAAACCCTTAGGGCTGCTATATAATGTTCAAAATTCTTGTGGACAATTAGAACATAATAATTTATGTCGAAGGACAACTGAAAAAACTACAAAATCGATCAAAGGACAACTATTAAAAATTTTGGACAACTGGACAACTAGGTACAACTATGTGCGCCGACAAAAAGGGACATGTGCGCCGACAAAAAGGGACAAGGGACACGTGTGCAGTCAAAGTACCACGTGTGCCGTCAATTTTATACATAGTTGTACTCAGTTGTCTAGTTGTCAAAATTCTTCATAGTTGTCCTTTGACAATTTTAGCATTTTTTCCAGTTGTCCCTTAATATAAATTATTATTTTTTAGTTGTCCACATGATTTTTGACTATTGTAGTCCATTTATAACATTTTCATACTACAGTTTATGCAAAATCATAATTTTGGCTCTTTTCCATCATAAGATTGTTAACATTATCAAAGTTTCTTTGTATCATAAGGGGTGTTGGATGTGAAACCAATAATATGTATTAAAAAAATGATAAATTTCATGTTATCCATCTTTTTAATTTTATTCCTTATAGTTTACGAATTTTTACATTTTTTAAGTGAATGTTTGCTTTCTATATTTATAGTTTATCATTATTATTTTCTAATGAAAAAATTGCATATAGTTGTACATATGTGTCCAGTTGTACCTTGTTTATTTCCATCCAGAAAGTATTCTCGGCCAAAAATGAAATTCTCTAGATGACTTACCTAAGTGTCAAGTTATCCATCAAAATAATATGTGCACTTATGTGCGCTGTCAATTTTTGTACATAGTTGTAACTAATTGTACTAGTTGTCCTCCTCTGCAGATTTGGAGATGAACTCAGATATAATTATAATTTACCTAAGAATCACTACGATTCAACGACTATATTTAAAAAATTATTCATGCAAATACCTAATCGTCCTATAAAACTAGGTTACCAACCCGATTTTTAATTATAATAAAATAATTTTCAATCAACAATTATTTAAGTTGTCTTAGTTATACCTATTTGTACCAGTTGTCCTCTATCTCATAGTTGTACCAGTTGTACTAGTTGTCCTCTTATCTCTTAGTTGTACCATTCGTACCAGTTGTCCTCTTCTGCAGATTTGGTGATGAACTCGAATTTTCTACCTAAAAATCACTACGATTCAACAACTATATTTGATAAATTATCTATGCAAAGACCTAATCATCACATAAACTAGGTTACCAACCCGATTTACATACCAAACAAGCAATTTTGACAAATTCAATCCCTAAATTGTAAAATCTCCAAATCTCCAAACAAAAACCTAACTGGGTTTGAAACTTCAACAATGGTGGTGGAGAGAGGAGATAAAAACAATAAAGTGATTACAGAGGATGAAGAAAAGGAGGAGAGGCGAGGGTTTAACGGCGAGAATGAGATTTGGTGGTTTTCAGAATCCATCAACAAAACGTTGATGAAGAAGAAGAAACAGAAAAAAAAAATTAAAAAAATTATTTTTTAAATTAATTTTGTTTTAAATTATTAATTTCAATTTAAATAAAATCAATCACTTTTTTATTAAATTCAAGAATGCCACAAAAATTTTCATTAAGGGTAAAATTGGAATTACATATGTATTATGACACACAGACTTGTTTATGGCACAGCACATTAGTTTTTTCCAATTTATGGCATTATAGCCATTAAACCTCTTCTTCTTCTTTTTTTTTTTTTTGAATTGAATGTAAAATTGATTCAAAAACAAAAAAACAACGTTTTTACATCAAAATCAAAAAGAAAGATGCGAAGCTATTTTATAAGATACATTTGAAGAGTTTTCTATCTTGTGGCGAACCAGAACTGAAGACTGCCCTCCAGTTTGGTGAATCCCGAAGATCGTATGGTGGAAAGACGATTTCGAACCTGCTTGTCGAGTTGCTGAATGATACGAGATGCAGCGTTTGGAGTTTTTCCATGCCTTCGCGAGTTTCTTTCCCTCCAGATAGAGTAGATTGCACATTGTAGCACATATCTGGTGAGAAACATCGGTATAGGAGCCAAGCCGTCGTCCGAGATGAGTTGAGTCAGAGTGTGCCAATCAGTTGTGAATCGAGTAGCCAGCAAACCCGATGCTAAGCGTGTCCAAATGGTCGCAGAGAATGGACAAGAGAAGAATAAATGGTCCCTTGTCTCGTTTGTTGCAGAGCAGAAAATACATTCTGAGCTAATACCTGGATTCCAGGCGATCATACGGTCGCCAGTAGAGAGCCGATTTCTAATCGCCAACCAGGAGCAGAAAGCATACTTTGGTGTCGCAAATTTAAACCATATACCCTTGTGCCATTGTACCAGAGGACGAGCATCCCGGATTTGTGTCCATGTATTTTTCGAGCTAAAATAAGGCTTAAACTCGCTGGTAGTATTCCTCCAGAGGCTAATATCCTTCTCTTCCGATAGTGCCGATAAAGCCTCTTCAATTAAGACCAGATGTTCAGTCCGGTGTCGACGTCTTCGACGAGCCGTCTTAGCCATCGCAATCGTTGCATTGAGTGGAATCCCCGTGTCAATAATACCTCTGTATCCAGTTATATCATACAGACATCCCAAATCGGACCAGATATCAAACCAGAAAAAAGTAGCTCGACCATCCCCTATTTCCCGTCGATGGAATTCCTTGGCTTTGTCTCTGTATTTCAGCAGCTTTCTCCATATCCACGAACCTGACATCTGTTGTTCAGAAAGATCGCTGTTTGAGAAGATTCTGTTGGATCCATTTAATCCATAAAGATGGATTTGCAGAAGCAATGTTCCAAATGAGCTTGTAACAGCTAACGTCATTTATATCCTCCAGGGATCGGACTCCTAGACCTCCTTCCGACTTTGGTTGGCAGACTTCAGACCAGGCTATTTTTGCCTTTTTCGAATTGAGCTCTGGGCCAGACCATAGAAACGCTGAACACAAACTCTCAATTTCTCGGATACATTTGCGAGGAAGACGAAATGCAGAACACCAGAAATTCGCAACACTTATAAGAACTGAGCCAATCAACTGAAGACGACCTGCCATTGACAAATAGCGAGCTGTCCAAGAACCAATTCGCAGTCTAATTTTTTCCAACAGAGGCTGGTAGTCGCTTCTTGTCATAGACTTAGTTGTCAACGGTAACCCAAGATATCGAACCGGTAATTGCCCAAGAGCAAAATGGAAACTATTGGACATGTCCTGTCTAGCATCCTCCGACAACCCAGCTAGAAACAGAGTTGACTTCTCTATACTAATCTTCAATCCCGAAATCCTCGCAAAGTCATCTAGAACTCGAAGAATACCTTCCACAGATCTCTTTTTGCCATCTGATAGAATCATTAAATCATCCGCAAAACTCAGGTGAGTTAGTCCAATGTTTTTACACTTAGGATGATATCCCACCTCTCTCAAAGATGCTGCTTTATCCAGGAGCTTTGACAATACGTCCATGCAAATAACAAACAAATAAGGGGATAAGGAACATCCCTGCCGCAGACCTCTTCGGCTTCTAAAGAAGCCCGCGAGTTCCCCATTCACTTGAACAGAGAACGAGGCAGTAGTAACGCACAAAGATATCCAGTGGATGAACTCGTCCGGGAAATTTAGAGCACTGAGAACATTAACCAAAAAAGCCCATTGTACAGAGTCGAAAGCCTTTGAGATATCGACTTGAATCGCACATCTAGCAGAGATATCCTCTCTATGATAGTCGCGAACCAGTTCAGTAGCTAGAAGCACGTTTTCGATGAGTAATCTATCCTTAACGAAAGCAGACTGATTTGCAGCAATGAACTTCGGCAAGATAATTTTAGACGATTGGCAATGATCTTCGAAATCACTTTATAAATGACATTACAGCAAGAAATCGGTCGATAATCCTTCATCTCCTTCAACTCCGTCTTCTTCGGAATCAAAGCCAAAATCGTCGAGTTCATACCCTTCGGAAGAAAACCCTTAACAAAAAAAGATTTAATTGCTGTGCAAAAATCTTCCCGTATAACAGGCCATGCTTCTTGATAGAACTCCGCAGTGTATCCGTCCGGACCAGGGGATTTGGCTTTAGGGATTGCAAAAACCACCTTAGTAATTTCCTCATCAGTTACACTTCGAACAAGAGAAGATCTATCTTCGACTGAGCATCTAAAAGAAAGAAGCTCCTGAAGCCGATCCACCGCAATACCATCAAAATCATCTGGTTCATGCTGTAAAAAATCTCGAAAAAATCTTTCTGCCTCCACTTTTATATCGCCTAAATTGTTTGCCACACTACCATCAGGACAAACGATCTCTCGAATGGAATTCCTGCTCTCCCGGATAGTAGCCGCTCGGTGAAACACCTTGTTGTTACCATCGCCAACATCCAGCCAATGTAACTTAGACTTTTGCTTCAGATAACTCTCTTCCAGACCCGAGACTATCTCCCAGCGTTTGAAAGCTGCGAGTTCATCTTCCATAGCTTGTGGAGATGGATTTGAAAAGTTAACCTCCTGTTTCGAGCAGAGATCAGCATAAGCTTCCTTCGATTTCTTTACCAGATTACCCATCTGCTCTTTAGCTAATGTCCGAATACCCTGCTTCAAGCCTTTCAACTTCTTCGAAAACCTGAACAGAGCCGAAGTAGATATGAATAATGGTTCTGTTTTGCTCCAATGACTGATGATCAGTGGTTTGAATCCTTCAAGTTTAGTTACTGCATTAACGAATTTAAAAGGTTTTCGTGGCTTTGGGGAACCCTCCAAAAATTTGATTCTACATCTTAAATGATCCGAACAACCTCCTGCCTCAAATACAGAGTACGAAGAAGAAAACTCCTGAAACCAAGTGTCATTAACAAGAACTCTATCCAGCTTCTTGTGAATTGTGCCTTGTTCTCTTTTATTACACCAAGTGAATCTAGGACCATGGTAAGTCATGTCCAGCAGCGAGCAATAACGAGTGAGATCTTGGAAATCCCTCATACCCACTGAACTTGATACCTGAGGATAATCAGAATGATCCTCTCCCTCCAAAACCTCATTGAAATCACCAAATAGTATCCAAGGCTTATTTCGAAACATAGAAGCATCCTGATGATGTCTTAAGTCTTTCCACAGCTCTTTACGCTCCTCCACAAAATTAGACGCATAAATAAAAGAACAAAAGAACTCGTTTTCCCAGCCTTCCAACTTTACCGAACATGTGATCAACTGACTACTCTTAAATAAAGGAGTCAATCGAGTATTTCCTTTCCATACAACCCAAATTCGTCCCAAACGGTGATGCTCATAATTAGTGAGCACTGGCCAATCTTTAAATACGAGATCACCAACCAATTTTGATCTTCCCTCCTTTACTCTAGTTTCAACTACACAACCGAAAATCGAACCCTTCTCTTTCTATCCAGTTCTTCACAATGGAATGTTTTGATGATTTGTTTAAGCCTCTGACATTCCAGAAGAAACTCGACATAATTAATTTCGTCGTGGGGGTTTCTTTTTGCCAATCACACTCGGAGGCAACTCCTTTGTGTTCAGGGCTAAAGAAATCTGAGAGTTCTTTGATGTTCCTCTAGTAGCACGAGGAGGGAGGGTCCGAAGAGTCTTTTCCTCATGCTTTTCCACTTGATCATCAGCTTTCTCGCGAATTTCACCTTCCTCTGTATCCACCGGCTCCCGTTCAGCTGAAGGAGTTAACTCCTCCAATTCTGTTTCCTCTGTTTCCATCTGCTCTTGCAGAACCGCATATCAAGATGGCGAGACAATGAGATCATCTGATTTCTCTGCACACTCTATTTGTCTTCTTGCTTTCGTTGGGGAAACCTGTGACTAATTTCCGTCATTTCCCTTCTGCATTTTTTCTAATTCCTTAATAGACTGTTCCATCTATGCCTCGATTATGGGAACTGCAGGAGCATCCACTACTGAATCCCCTGAGCCCACACTTGTAGAAGGCGCAACAACCATTGAAGAACCAGCCCCTACCATAGGCAGAACTGATTCGCCCCCATCTACTCCTACCACTTCCTTCTTCCTCCATTCTGCTTTCTTTTCCTTTATTGGCATGCTTTCTGCTGAAACCTTTTGAGGAGATAAAATTTTAATAGCTTGATCACCTCTTGGCGAGCAGGCAGTAGATATATGACCCCATTTAGAGCAGATGGAGCATCTCGATGGGAGCCATGGGTAGATAAACTCCACCTCCGTATCAATTCCTTGTTTCGATGTGAATCTGTATACCTTTGACAACTCTTTTGTCATGTTTGCTTCTACAAAAATCTTTGCTTCATCAAACTTCGAACAAAGCATAGTATCCGGGTGCAGTCTAACAGGTTTTCCCACTGCACTCGCAATAAAGCTCAATCCCTCCCATGAAAACATCTTGTATGGCACGTTTACAAGCTTCACCCACATGGGGATAACCTTTACTTCAGGCTCCGGTTCCTTCTCCTCTTCCGGAGACCATTTTGTGACTATCATTGGAACACCAGCGATGTTCCACATGCCCCGTCGAAGGATTCTCTCCCTTACCGATCTGTCATTGATGCGAAACTTCACCGTAGTGGGGTTAACAACAAAGACATCGACTCGGATACTCTTATCTCCCAAAGGCCATATTTTGTTAACGATCACATGGATTTTTGCCACATGAGGCGCCGTAGCTAGAAACCGTCCTTCCAACAGATCATCCCACAGCGGGACCGAGTTTGATATGATCTCCTCCGGGATCTCCACAGTGTCTAAACCATCCACAACTTTCACTATAACCTCATGACTCGAAAGAGACGGTGTCTTTTTCACGACGTTTACCCAAGAAGCTTGAGAGTTCTGCCGCGGAGAAGACTCTGCATTCTGACCGCCATCGATAGGAGCCGGAGACTCCAAACCCTCCTCCATCCTCCACCGTTTACGTGCGGCGGACGGCGGAAACCCTAGTCGCTTTGAAAATCGCTTCCAAAATCGCTATGCTGACGTATCTCTCGATCAAAATTGGCAATAACCTCTTCTTCTTCTTCGAAAGGCGAAGACGAATAGTCGAAGACACTCTTCGTTTGGACTTTGATTCTTTGAAAATTTGCTTACTTTGATAACTTGTTTTCTGGGTTCTTCGGACATTCAAGTTGGCCCCGATTCCTCGTTCTCTTCTGGTATAAAAAATTTCTTTTGTTATCTTCTAGATTGAGTATCAAATGTTAGGCTATCCAAAATTGTTTACTTATGCCCATTTGCGTCTAGATCTGGCTGTGGAATCGTTTGCGTTTTGAGACGCCAATACGTGATTTCTGATGAGTTTTTGGATTCTGCTTAGCAACTGTTTACTGCATGTGAGAAACACACTACTTTATCTTCATCAAAGGTTTTAGTTTTATCGTGTTAGTTGAGAATCTTTGTCGGATTTGTAGTGTTTTTTCACATCATTCCTAAAAAAACCATCTCTTTGAATGTTAATGGAATCTGATGAATGTTTTCAAGTCCTAAATGTATTTGTTAACATATAAAACTTACTTCTATTTTGTAATGTTGTTTCTCATTGAATTTCCAGGAGCAAAACTTCTAATATTATCCTCTGCATCGACATAGTCATTTACTCATTATTGCTCTCTTCTCAACCTCAGTGATGAAAATGTATGTCCTCCGTGTACTTTCCATCTTTCATTCTCGATTCTTCTCTCTTTTTTTGTTATCAAAATCTGACATTGATGTTGCAGAGTAAAGGCAAACGCAGGTGCACTTACCAATTTCGAAGTGCTTGACTTCTTAAACTCAAGAGGTGCATCAAAGGATATTACAAGAGTCATAGCTCCAATTGCTAAATCAGAGTACAAGGTCTCTTACCTCAACATTTCTTTTCTCTGTTTGTGACTTTCCCTTTAGAGGATTTATTGAAGTTCATAAACTTTTGGTGTCTTTCAGGTCTATGATTATTTGGTTGAGACTGCTGCTTTCACTCAAACACGAGAGAGCATTAACAGATTCTCCGAAAAGTGCAGAGATTTCAAAGTCGCGAAAGCTGAGATTCTCAATATCATCAATCTCCGGCCATCTTCTATTGTCGAATTGATGCCGGTTTGTGGTTTTGTTTGCTCTTGTTATATGTTCATGAACATATCTATCATTGCGTTAATCTTACAGGTTTTCTTACTATGTAACCTTTGTGACTGTGACGTTTGTAGATCATAGAGAAGCCCGATGATCGGGAAATCAACTCAGATGGAATTCTAGAGCTCGTGCAGGATTTGCTACCGCCTCTTCCTACATCTGAGAGTCATAAAGAAACTGACCAAGAGGAAAAAGAGAGTGGTGAGCAATCTTAACATTCGCCTATAGTTTTGAGTTAGATATCTCTAGCTGAGAAATTGTATGGTGTTACAAGATCCATTACGTTATGTGTATTGACAAAAGAAAAGACCATATGTGTATTCTGTTATGTTAGATAAGCTATGAAATCATCTTTGTGAGTATTGAAAATGATTTTGTTTGTTTTAATTATGCATGTTATTGATTTCAACGAGGTTACCTTTCACTATATAGACAGTGGATACAGTTGTAGTTGCATGTAAATCACAGGTAAAGAAAATGGAACGTAGCAAAAGATTAACTCTGTTGTAGTAAGCTCACAATTTTGCTATTCATGTACTCTCTGATGTGTTCTCTGTAGTCTGTGATTTTATTTGGTTGATTCAATCATCATTTAACACTTAACACAAACCCATTGAAACTGGTGAAACTGGTTTCATGTTGGGAAAGTAAAATATATTTGTGTTTAATCTCTCTGTTCAACCATCTATTATCATTTAAAACAAAAATAAATAATGCAGAAAACAATACAATATTTGCGCCTTTCTTAAGTTATAGGGTAAATGGAACTTGAAACGTGCTTAATCAGTTTGAGATTGAGTTGTTCGATTCTGTTTCTCGAAACTGATAAGAAGAGTTATGACTTATATGACTATTCTTGACTAGTCTATTCGTATTCATCTTTTCTTGATTTGTCTCTTCGTAATCATAAATTCTTGACCACGTCTCTTAGTATTCACAAATAATATTTTATCATCCCTCCTATATAAGTTGATCTCATGTATATCTATTTCTCTCATCATCTCAACAGAAACAAGCATTTCTCTTTTTGTGAATTGCGTTTTGGGTTTGCTCACTTTTCGTCAAAAGTTTCCGATTGTTATGCAATACATCGTTTCTCAATAATATTTCGTTTTGACCTAGAATTGTAGATTTTGGGATGCTAAATCCTCTCTTGGTTATGTTCAGATTGTTTTTTTTTTTTTTTGCTAAAGATGTTCAGATTGTTATGCAATACATTTTTTCTCTGTATGTTTATTGTTTGTATTTTAATTTTGAAATGCTTTTTGTTCCTTTTGGTTTATTTTATTTAAGCTTTGTGAAAGATCAACTGTGTTGATTTTGTAAGCTCACAATCTGCTATTATTGCCCTCTATTATATTTGTGGTTTCTCAGTTGGGACAGTAAGTTGGTGATGTCACTTAATCTTGTTAAGTGTATTCATCATTTCTTTCAACATGAACATGAATTGTCAGCTTTAAATATCATTCTTGTTTCTCTTTTGTAGTTGGTGTCCACTTAGATGAAACTAGACCGCAAGAACTTAGATGATATGATTCTAGATTATTTTCTTGCACGTGATTTTGAGTTTGCTTCATCTTGCACCACCTAATGAACTAGCTAGAGTACTATGCTCTTATCCTAATAATCCAGCCTCCACGTAGCGTAGAATTAATCACTTATAATTTGCGAGAGTTTTTCGGAATGTTCATTGACTATTGTGAAGGAAGGGAACTTTTGCATATCTTCATTTCTTTGTGGATGGAAGAGACACACAAAAGTTTCATTCACAGTAGTAATGGACTCTGAAAAACTCTGGCAACTTATTGGTGATGATTTCTATGCTATGCTATGCTAACAAACGTACGATACAAACATATGATTACTTAAGAGAAGTAAAGATTTCCTCTTGATGACGTATAACATGACCGATCAACTGTAAAAGATGGTAATAAAGGTATAAACTTCCTTTTGATAGAAGCGATGGTTTCTTTAGGTACAAAAGATAAGTTATGAAGTGAGAGATGAAAATACAATATTTTGGCCTTTCTTGTAGGGTGAATGAATCTTTCGATACTAGAGAATTTGAACCAGTGCGGTGATTATCTTATGTTTGATATTTGGTGAGTTATTGGAAGTCGTTTTCTTATGGTTTAAGGTTTGTGAAGCAGAAATGGGACCTATGTGCGTCTCAGTGGTCATTTGAAAACATTTCAGGGGAAAAAGTAACTTTTTTTTTTCATTGTGAGGTACGTTAATGTTTCTGTATGATGTGTTGATTTTGAAATGATTTAATTCCTTTACCATTGGCAATACGTTTTAATGTCATTCCTCTCTGACATGATTTTTTCCCTTTTTTCAGATGCACAACAAGTTGGTAATGTCACTCAATTGATAACTTCACTTCTCTGATGAACGTCTCGATGTCCAAATCATTTTGTTGATTAGTTGGAATATCCTTGTTGAGAATACATTGTAATATTCTATAAATACTAAGAACATCTCCAAAAGATACATTTTTATGTACTCTAAGGGCATCTCCAAAAAAGAGGTTTGATGGTGTTTGTCTCCAAAAGCAAAACCTCAAATCTATTCTCACAATTTTTAAAATATTACAATATAGTCTTTACTTTTAATCATTATTAATAAAAATCATACAACTTTATAAATAACAAAAAATATACATTAAAAATATCATTAACTAAAATAATATAATTAACTTTATAATAAAATAAAACATTACATTATAAAATAGAATTACATAAACATAATAATAAACATACACAAACTAAATTATAAATTATTACATTACACCAAATTATTCAACAAAACTATTTCCATAATGTTCCCAAATATGATCAATCGATGCATTCCGAAGTGATAAATAAGCGTCTTTATTTCTAATCTGTAAATGACGAGATAAAAACTGTTGAAATCGGGTATTATCATTAATTGTCATTTCAACTGTTGCCTCTGGAGCTGGCCTTGCATCTCTAATTGGTGCATTGATGTCACGTTCATCTTCAATTATCATGTTATGCATTATAATGCACGCTGTCATTGAATCATGCAATACTTCTTTCTTCCAATAACGTGAAGATCCATTGATGATAGCAAACTTTGATTAGCAAACTTTGATTGTAGAACTCCAAATGCACGTTCAACGTCTTTTCGACATGCTTCTTGTCTTGCTGCAAACAATCTTTTTTTTTTGACCTTGAGGATCACTTATAGTTTGAACAATAGTTGACCATTTCGGATATATACCATCAGCTAAGTAATATCCCATGTTATACTTTTTTTCTGAATAACATAATTAGCTGGAGGAGCGGTACCTTGAGCGAAGTTTTGAAAATAAATTTGAGGACTTCAAGACATTAATGTCGTTGTTGCTGTCTGGCATACCAAAATACGCATGTCATATCCATAGATCATAATCTGCAACTGCTTCAAGAATGGTTGTGGGTGATCCGCTACGTCTTGCAAATTGTCCTGCCCATGCAGTTGGACAATTTTTCCACTTCCAGTGCATACAATCTAGACTACCCAGCATTCCAGGAAATCCACGTGTTTGGCCGATATTGAGAAGCCGGGCGACGTCTTCTGATGTTGGTGGCCTGAGATACCACCCCGAAAAGAGTTCCACGATTGCGCGACAAAATCTCTTCAAGCATTCGATTGCTGTTGACTCGCCTATCTTGATGTATTCCTCTGTGGCATCAGCATACATACCATAAGCCAAAATCAGAGTAGCAGCCATTACGTTTTGCAAGGTTGACAAACCCATTCTGCCAGTTGTAATACGTCGTTGATTGAAGTAGTTGTCATGTTGTTTAACAGCATCAACAATGTGAAGAAATAGCCTCTGTGACATTTGAAAGCAGCGGTGGAATTCTCTTTCACCATACACAGGATTACTAGAAAAATAATCATTGAACAAATTACGGTGAGCATTTTCTCTATCACGGTGTATAACTGCATGACCAGGAATAGAGCTTCGATGACTTGCTTGCTCGTTTTCTTGAGTGAGATGATGAATAAGGCGGTTGTTGTTGGCAATCATTTGTATTGTTATTTGTTGTTGTCTCTCCATTGCAGCATTTTGCTCTTCCAACCATTCATCAAACTCAGATGAGCTTGAAGAGGAAGACGAATTATTGAAAGAAGATGGATCTCCAAAATTATAATTATTTTCTACTAATTTTTTTAAGTGAATTAATTGTGATATTGTGATGTATTTCTAACATCTATGTGTGTGCTGTTATATATAATTTTTTTTTATTATTCAAGAAGATAAGAAAATCTTGACAAATTAATCTACACCATTCATTAGATTTCATTTATCAACAACCGTGAGATTAAAATTGGTATTTTGTTTGCAAATTGGTAGTAATTTTATTGAATAAATTAGTATTTTGTTTGTAATTTATGATTTAGTTTGTGTATTTTATTATTATTTATATGTAATGTTACATTACAGTTGTATTAATTAATATTACCTATAATATTTTTAATATGTTTTTATAATTATTTATCAAAATTTTATGATTTTAGTTAATTATTATCAATAGTGAGAACTAAAGTGCAAAGTATAATATTTTTAAAATATTTTTTAAGATTTATCATTGGAGAGTATCACCCTCAAATTTCAAATATAAAATTTCTCACACCTTTAAAATACAGTGTCTTTTGGAGATGTTCTAAAACCTAATAATCATCTCTACTTATATATTATTAAACTAAAAATTGAACTGTCTAATTATACAAAATACCAACAAAAAAACTAATATCCCCAATATTCATTGGCAGCTTTCTCAGAGTTGGTTGAGTCAATGAGGAGAGAAAGAAGCATCGCATCCTTACAAAGCACGAATAAACAATATTAATAATCTAGTAAATTAAATGATATGATATGAAATTGGTGTAGCTTAATCAAAATTGTAAAAAAAAATATGCATTTTATATTATAAAACGACTTATTATTCCCATATATTAAATGTTTGAAATTGTTCGAGCCATATCAAAATGCTATATTAGAGTCTTACCCTAACACAATAGTGGAAATGCATATGGAGCTATATCAAAATGCTTATAATGCTTATAAAACTAGGTTGGTCAATCAAAGTTCTAAACAATCTAATTCACTTGCTTTTGTTTAAATCATTTATGTTTTTATTTTGAATGTTATATTTTTATAATGTTTGAGTATTTGCTTGATTGTAATGTTTTTTAGATTTATAATATTTCTTTGTTTGTTATCCGGTCCTGTCTTTAAAACATATTTTTTTTCGTTTTTGTATTCTAATCATGAGTAAATAAATATTGAACAACCAAAAAAAGAAAAATCAAAATTCAATATTGACTGACTAACCTGTTCGTTTGCTCATCTGGATGGATTATCCAGAAAAGCAGTCAAATGATGCTCGTTTAATTGTATTAATCGACTTATCTAGATGGATCATCTAAATAGATCATCTGATGATTTATAAATTTATGAAAAAAATTTAAACTCATCCAACAAATTCTATTTGAAGCATTTGGATAAACATAACTCAGTCCAAAAAATTAAATGACAAAAATATACTTAACAAAATTAATAAAAAAATACAAACAAATAAGAAAAAAATAAAAAATTTGTTTACTTAAAATTTTGTTCCCATTAAAATATATATATATAAAACAATTTTCGTCAAAAATATAAATTCATATTTTCTATAAAAAAATGTAAAATCACATTTTTCCGCAAAAACTTAAAATTTTATCCGCCAGATTTCTGTCAAAAACTTAAAATTATGTTTTCTTGTAATAACATAAATCTCGTAAAAAAATTAAAAATTCGTTTTTCCGTCAATAACGTAAAATCTCGTTTTTTCGTAAAAAATGTAATATCTCATTTTTCCGTCAAAAACATAAAATTTCATTTTTTCCATTCAATCTTATTTTCCCATCAAAAACGTAAAATATCGGTTTTCCGTCAAAAATATAAAATCTCGTTTTCTCGTCACAAACGTAAAATCTCATTTTTCCTGTCAAAAACGTAAAATCTCATTTTCCCGTCAAAAAACGTAAAATCTCGTTTTCCAGTTAAAAACGTAAAATCTTGTTTTCCTGTTAAAAACGTAAAATTTTGTTTTCCTGTAAAAACGTAATATCTTGTTTTTCCGTTAAAAAACGTAAAATCTCATTTTCCTGTAAAAAAATTATTAAATCTCGGTTTTCATCAAAAATGTAAAATCTCGTTTTCCTTCAAAAACATAAAATCTTGTTTTCCTGTAAAAAAACGTAAAATCTTGTTTTCCCGTCAAAAAACATAAAATCTCATTTTTCCGTCAAAAACGTTAAGTTTCGTTTTCTTGTCAACAAACGTAAAATCTTGTTTTTTGTCAAAAGATTTTATTTTTCTTGTCAACAATGTAAAATTTTGTCTTCCGTCAAAAACGTAAAATTTCGTTTTCTTGCCAAAAACGTAAAATCTCGTTTTCTACCATAAACAATATTATGTTTTCAATACAAAACAAATGTTCATTGTTCATTTGTCATTTGCTCATTCAAAATATAAAAATGTTTATTTACTCATTTGTCATTTGCATCATTCAAATGATTTATCCAGATGAATCATCTAAATGGATCATCTAGATGCAAAATGATAAATGAACAAATGAACAGGGTCTAAGACCATCTTTATCGAAGGTTTTAAACGGGTTCAAAGATGGGGTTCATGGGTTTTTTTTTATTAAAAATAAATGAATAAAGCCCAATATCTATGAAACCGAGTCTTAATTTAGAGCTTTTAGAGACAGTTTTACAAAGGGTTCACGCATGACGTGTCTGAATTTGAATTTGATTGGTTGGGTTTGGAGAAAAAATTTTATTGATAAAAAATTTGGGATAAATCCCATGAGGGGTTCACCATTACTAATGCTCTAAGTACCAGTAGCACACCCTGTCACTACATCCAAATTCGAGCTTGGACCTCGAGTTGTTTAAGAATTGACTCTAATTAAGAGGATTCATGTCAAATTCTTGAAAGAGAATTAAAAAAAAAAAAACTCAAGATCACAAATCCTAAAACTAAAGGTAAGAAATAAAACAGTTTAAATCCAAATATAGAGGTAACAACAAAGACAAGTTCAAATTTAGCCAAATCATAATCTTAGAAAATGTCTCTCCACCATTAAATCTTGAGCTCCTCTCAAGATCTGTATATATACCCAACCACATCCTCTTATTGCAAACTCAGGCTTTGAGGTTTAGCTTTTACTATAGAAAAATAAAGGGTAGTAAATAAATAAAAACACCCAAAAGATGGGTCTCAAGGCCTCCTCTTCTCTCCTCTGTCTCGCCATCTTACTCGGTGTTTCCTCCATTGTATCATCGGTTAACATAACCCGAGCACTCGAGAAATACCCTGAATTCAGCACCATGACCGAGCTTTTCGCCAAGACCGAACTCACACCGATTATCAACAAACGTCAGACCCTCACCGTGTTGGCTCTTAGCAACGATGCAATCGGTTCCATCTCCGGTAGACCCGAAGAAGAGCTAAAGAACATTCTCATGAACCATGTGGTTCTTGACTACTATGATGAGCTCAAGCTCAAGGCTCTTAAAGACAAGAGCACATTGCTCACGACCCTTTACCAGTCCACCGGTTTGGGCCAGCAGCAAAACGGTTTCCTAAACTGCTCAAAATCTAACGGAAAGATTTACTTCGGGTCTGCTGTGAAAGGCGCTCCTCAAACCGCAGAGTACATCACAACCGTGTTCCGTAACCCTTACAATCTATCTGTTGTCCAAATCAGCATGCCCATTGTGGCTCCTGGACTCGGAGCTCCGGTTCAGGTTCCTCCACCACCACCCATGTCTTCACCACCGGCTCCATCTCCCAAGAAGGCTGCAGCTCCTGGACCAGCTGAGGAAGAGGTTTACGCAGACGCTCCTGCTGGTGCAGCTCCAGAAACCGCACCTGCATCAGCACCATCGGAAGATGGTTCTCCTGCTCCGGCTCCAGAGAACGCTGGTAAGAAGAAGATGGCAGCAGCTGATGAAGCTGAACCACCTACTTCTGCTTCTAACACCGGTTTAAGCTTTGGTGCTGTCCTTGTTCTCGGGTTTGTGGCTAGCTTTGCTGGGTTCTAAGATGGTTTAAGACAGAGCGAGTGGGAGGATAGTAAACTGAAAATGAGACTCGACCATAGAGAGAGGCATTGTGATATGAAGTGGATCAAATACTCACAGTAATGTACCTCAATCATCTATCATTAAGGAATGAAAGTAAGTGTGTATATGTTTTTTCCTCATTCATCCAATTCCTAAGGAAATTAACACACACCATACGTAATCCAACAATAACTGCAACGAATTGCTTCAAACTAGAAATATCGAAATGACATGGATCATTTCAAATCAACCAAATATATCAGAAAGTTTTAGCATAAAGAAACTGCACAAAACCGATCAAGCACTGCAAAAATGACGAAGCCGTGCTTTAGAGAGTTTTACCAAAACATCAAGAATAAACCTAAAAATCTTGCAGTTGCTCTAAGACAGTTAGATACTGAATAAGCCTGTTTGATTATGCCGAGGAAGAAAACAAATGATTCGGCATTGGTAGAATGTGCAGCCTGTCATTTAATCCTCTCTACGATGTTCGCAATGACCTCTTCCATGTTAAGTTCCTTCATCTGTGTAAATGGGCGCTTCATATCCTACATAAAAAGAAAGTCGCATCATATTCTATATACCTCGGAAATTAAGAACATGAAAGCAAATATTTTCATGTTGCATACCTAGTTACTAACAAACTAATTTGCTAGTTATTCTTATTTCAAACTACAAACTACTTAGCACTCATCTTGATTCAGCTAAAAAGAAAACAACTAAAAGCACAAAACTTGATTCAGCTAAAAAGAAAACAACTAAAAGCACACAACTTGATTCAGCTAAAAAGAAAACAACCAAAAGCCAGTTTATGATCGTGACCAGTTGACTAAGCAGATATAGCATCAGAGGATCAGAAATTTGGACCTTTTTTCCATCTTTTAAAAGCATATCATCAAAGAAGCTGTGTTATGGAGAATGAATACGGAAAAGACGAGAAAAGTAGAAAACTCATTCAAATGAAACAAGTCACTCACAGAAGTGCAGCTAATTGACATACTACATTGAAGCACGAGAATGAATACGGAAATACGAGAAAAATCATTCAAATGGAACAAGTCACTCACAGAAGTGTGGCTAGTTGACAGATTATATTGAAGCACGAGTATGAAAGGCTTACCAAAAGACTGACAAATGTTTCGCCGCCTTCCTCTCGAATCTCAAAGCAACCACGCCTTGGCTGTTAAAGCAGATCATAAAAGGAAAGAATTAGCAATGGAAAAATTACTCGTTTAAAACATAAGGAGACAAACAACCTCAAAAACAATCAGAGGAACAATATCAAGCATTTATGGCAGTATATACATCTGTAGTGAGAGATTTTGCTACCTTCACAGCATTCACGGTCACTAAGATGCCAGGAACAGCGATCTCAAGGCCTTCCTTCACCTCGTTAGCTCTCTCCTTGAATGATTTGCATTGGTTGCTTCAAGAAAACAACAAAAAACTTCAGTGAAGTATACGAGAGAGAACATCATTCAAATGTAGTTAAAGGAATGGCTAGATTTCTTTCCTCGAACATCACCAATCACAACAATATACACACTAAGAACCTCTCATTAGCATAAAGAACATGTTATCCTGAGAAAGCACACAACCAATTCCTCTTCAGAACAACGTATTTATCTGTACCGAACTGAATGGAATCAGAAAGAGGAATGACATATTGCGCACAAAACAAGCAGGAATGTGTGCAGCTTCAAGAACGAAACCCTAACAACAAGAGAGCAAAACCCTAGAACAAGAATTTTTCCAAGGCACAGCGATAAAACCAAGGATTAGCTTCACTCAGAGGAACAGAAGACCTAAATATTCGCTTCTACACTTTCCCCCAAATTTCTAACGAAACCTAAAAGAGAAGAAAAGCAAAAATGAAGAAGACATTGTCGTTTACCAGTGCTCAATCACAATCTTCTTTTTCTCGGAGTCGTCTTCATCTGCAGCAACATCGTCTTCCTTCGCCGATTCTTCATCCTCCGTCTTGACTTCAACAGCTGCCTCCTCTTCTTTCTTGGCCTTCTTCTTCGCCGATCCACCTTCCTTCGCTTTCGTCTTCCTTTTCTTCTTCTCGGGAGATTCGAACTTCATGAGCTTGGAGGAAGAAGAACCAGACGAGTTACCACCGCGTCGCTGAGTTTGGCTACGAGTCTGCCGATCCATGCTCCGAGTCTGCCTCGTCGACGTAACCGCCACAGATTTCCCCTTGTCTTCTCCGCTAACCTTGCTCTTACGCGGCGCCATTTGTACGGAAAACGAAAGAAAGAAAAAGCTCCCGTCGCCGGAAAACCTCCGCACCAAAAATGGCTATTATGCTCTCGCTCTCTCTCTCTCTCTCTCTCTCTGAATCTTCTACAGTCTCTTTGTCTTCTTTCTAGATATTTCACTTTTTCACGCGCTCTTTTTTTTTAACGCTAAGTTAAAAGACGTTAGAAGGGACTAAAGTTCACCTCGGTACGACACGTCACAGGAAATTTAAATGGACGGTCAGGATTAATTGAGAATAATTAAGGTTTGATTGGTAACATGGTTTAAGCAAGTTGGACGCTCTAACCGTTTTTCTTTATCATTTTGGATACACTTTTGACCAATTGTTATCAATGGCTAAAGTAACTAAACATAATAATGTAAATTTACACACAAAAAAATTAAATCGCATGGTAAGATTAAATATCAAATATCAAATAATTTATATATTTATAAAATATTATCAACAAACTCAAACACAGATGTTATGTGGTTAACAAATCCAACTTTTTACAAGTGTTAGAGATTAATCTGGATGTGGGTCCATTTATATACATTATAAAAAAAGAAACTCAAAGACACATGTTACCAGATTACAATCTAGTTCATATCATGGTGATATAATACAAACCATAGAATATAAAACCCAGAAAAATATTTATTACTCTACTTTTAATTTCTTAGCATTTATTTGATCTGAGTTTTATTGTAATTTATTTAGAACAAAAGATAAATACAAGAACACTCCCATCATAAAAGCAACAAGCGCGCCCCTGCCTCTTCAGTACATTCTACACACCACATTCTTGGATTAAACAAAGTTTCATTCTATACAGAGTCTCCTCACAATATTTTGTGTTTCCCACCATTCCTGTAATCACAATCAACATAAAAAATTTAGTAGCCGATTTAAAATGTAAGAATATAGTATTACATTCCTATGAAAAATATTGATGCTTTGACATTATAGATCTGATATAATATGATATTAAAAAAATATTAATTGTTATATGTTAAAACTATATTAAATTACCTAACACGAAAACTATGAAAATAGTTAAAATGATTAACGAGAATTGAAAGTGTTTCTTCATTCTAACTAGATGATATATAAAAATAAATTGATGATGTTTTAGGTAAAACTAAAAAGAATAGACCGAAGTATACTTTTAAATCTATTACAAAGCTCATCTAATTTAAGCATGGGGCCTTATTTCTTTTTTTTTTTAATGGTCTGGTGCTATACAAATTCCCAACTGTTTTGCTAATTTGACATGTAAAAGGTATTGACCGCTCTTTTTATTCTTTTCTTATGAAGTTTTTGTGGTTGTAATTTGTAAAGTTTACCAACAATTATGAAAGCTCATCAAATTAAAATATAAATATAAACATATATATATATATAATATTACTCTTTCTGTCTCGTCAAATTTACTAGTATTTAGGAGACTGCAAAACACTTTTAAATTGGGCATCTCGACATTGAAATTTATGTCTTTAAATAGGGTCATGTATAACTCTAAAACAAGTTATAATATCCTGGTTTTTATCGCCATATCTACTAGTTGATGTCAAAGACACGATTTTAGTTTAACATCTTATTTTCTTGGTCACCATTATTTACAGATATTGGTGGAATGGAATTTTTTAGGAAATTGTTTAAACTAATTTGGCCAAGACTGAGAAACATATAATAAAAAAAATCACACATATTAAGGATAATGTGAGCGATGTTCTTAAAATAGCTCAAGCAAGCAAAAACTACTTGGAACATGGGAGTATTCACATAGTCAATATATATAATAGATTTTTTTTTTAAGAAATAGGATTAGGTCTCATGGACTTAAAAGGAGTCGACTTTTAGCAGGAGAAAACCTAACAAATCAAGATTAGAGAATGTTTATCCGAGAAACAGAGATGAACACAAAATAGGGCAAGGAACAAAGGAAGAAGGAAGTTTAAGTAATATATCAAGAAATAACGAGTACACATAAAGCTAAGGTTGTTACTTCAAAGGTCAAAATGCTCATAATTTCTGTGCTCAAACGATGTCTTACCCTTTTTTAGTAAAAGCGGATAGAGATCATATCACTAAGATAAATGAGATGTTTGTAAAAACTTGAACCTTATTGTAGTGGTAGATACGGATTAAAATTTCATAATATTCAAATTTGAGAATCAACAACCCGAACTCGGATACACTAATATTTATTAGAATACTCACAAATATATCAATCTAATTCAGATCTGTCAAAAAACGGCTAAAGTAATTAAAATAATAATATAAATTTTCATGAAACAACACTTCAAATATTAAATCACATTTAAAGATTAAATAGAAATGATCAAATAATTTTTTATTTTTGAATTATTTTTCCTCTACAAACTCAAACACAGATATTAAGTTGTTCACCAACTTATAGTAGGCCAATGGTTGAAACATTCATCAAAAGATTTGAGAAATAGAGTTTGAATATTTCCATTGCGATATCATAGTTCGCCATTGTGGATGGTTAAAATGATAAAAAATAAAAATCAGACTTTTCACAAGTCGAGGCCCGGCCCAAGGAAGAGGCATAGTAATCAACCGCCTAGAACCGAAAAAATTTATGGGATTACCTTTATTTAAGAACAAAAAATATATTCTGAATATCTAATTTTTTTAATCCAAAAAAATTAAAACTGTATGTTGATTCCTTCCTTGACATTTGTATGTTAAGGGTTTTGCCATCAATAATTTGTTCACTTGTGAAGATCAACATTATTCAACAGAGTTTAATTTTGATTAGGGCCTTCCATAGGCATGGACTGGCGGTGCACAAGTCTTAGAGATTCATCTGGATTTGGGTCCAAAATTTCCATTGTGGATGCTTAAAGTTCAAAGACAAATGTTACCAGAGTTCCATCTACGAGTATATATCATGGTGGCATAATACAAATCATAAACTATAAACCCAGTAAAATATATATTATATTACTCTATTTTTTATTTCTTTATCATTTATTTGAACTGAGTTTTATTGTAATTATTTAGAACAAGGATACAGACAAAGACACTCGTGACCAGCTTTGGAATCACAATAGCAACGAGCCTGCCCCTGCCTCTTCAGCACACACACCACGCCACATTCTTGGATATTACAAGTTTTCCCTTTACTCAGAATCTCCTAACAATATCGTGTGTTGGGATCCCATCGTGGTTGCTTCTTGTTTCCCACCACTCCTGTAATCACAATTAACATAATATTTTAGTAACAGATTTATAATGTAAGAATATAGTATTACATTCGTATCAAAATATTTATATTTTGACATTATAGATCTGACTTGATATTAAAAGGTAAATATAACATGATATTTACAAAATATTAATTGTAATACATTAAAACTATTTTAATATAGATATATACCTAACACGAAAACTATGAAAATAGTTAAAACGATTAGCGAGAATTGAAAGTGTTTCTTCATTCTAACTAAATGATAGAAATGAATTGATGATGTTTAAACTATCTAAAAAGAAAGAACAAAGCATACTTATATATACAAAATCATCTCATTTAAGTATGCCGCCGAAAATTTTTTGTTGAATGGGTCTGGTGCTACACAAATTCCAAACTGTTTTGCTAAATTGATAAGTAAAAGTTATTAACCCGTTCTTTTTACTATTTTATTTTGAAGTTTTTGTTGTTGTAATTTGTAAAGTTTACAAACAATTATGAAAGCTCATCAAAACTTAAAATATCTCTATATCTCGATATTATTATTTGAGTATACATTTACATAAATGAATCTTTATTTGTAAGATATTACAGAATATTTTACATAAATGAACATTTATTTATAAAATATTACATAAATAAACATTTACTTAGAAGATATTACATAAATAAATTTTACAAATATAGAAAACTCAATTAAATATTCCTCCATAAGAGATAGTTAAATATAGAGCTCACAGATTTGTTTTGAATATATATGGAGATAAATCAAAAGTGTATTTAGTTTCTTTACGTATTAATTATTTTAAATAATAATAAATCTATATATATGAAAAAAATCTATTTGAAATTTTGCAATAATTTTCATTTGTATTTTCATAATTAGTTAGTATCATTTTTGAAAATCAGTTCAATTATTTTTATAAAAAAAAATTGAAATGTATTTTCAAAATTTAAATTGTATTTTTTACGAGTTGGCCGAAAAAATATTTTAACAAATTAAAAAATAGATTAAGTAGACGGATTTGTCCATTTTGACAATCCTATATATAATTATTATTAACACATATTGTATAATTCATTAGCTAAAAATGGTAGTTTTATCTCTAATACAATATTCACAATTAAATTATTAATTTTATAGATATATGTATTTAGATTCTAATTCATGTTGGTATGTATATAAGTATATATATATATATATATATATATATATCAACATCATACCACTTTCACATCTAAAAACTACTAATAATTAAACCGCATAACAAAACTAGCTCATAGTCTTATATATGCAAGTAAATATCAGTTGTGTGATATTTATATATGTATTGTTATCTAACAACCACTAATTTTATTTACTTTTATTTTTAAAAAAATTTTGCCACCAATTTTAATTTAACCAAAATTTTAAAATTAAATTTAAAGATAATTTAAAAAACATTACCATGCACGATATGCAGGTTAATTTTTAGTTATTATTATTTGAGTAGACATTTACATAAATGAACATTTATTTGTAAGATATTACAGAATATTTTACATAAATGAACATTTATTTGTAAAAAATTATATAATTAAACCTTATACATTAAATGACTGGACCATAGAAAATTCTGTGGACCGAAATAGCAGGTCTTAAACTGGATAGACTATATTCTATATGTTGATAAAATATAACTTCTACTGAATACACAATATTCTATATTTTCGTAGAATATTTATTCTATTTATTAGATCAGGTTCCACGTTATTGTAGAATAGTTTTTCTACATATAGTCTTCATTCTATATTAAAGTAGAATACGAATTTTACCAAAATCTATGAAAATCTAGGAATTATTTAACATCCAGAACTTAATATTTTTGAAAAAAATTTAATTAATATACCAAATAATTCTTTTTTT